GTCAAAATCGGTTGATCCGTTCAAAAGTTAACGTTGCCAAAAAAAGTATTTTCTTTTTTTTTTTTCAAATAACTTCGAAATTTCTTCTCCGATCGTTTTTGATGTATTAAATTATACTTGTACTTGTAGTAAATTATATTATATATAAATAAATACAAATAATGCTTAAAGAACTGCGTCGAACGTCGTCAAGTTTGTCAAAATCTGTTGATTTGTTCGTAAAATATTTAATATTAAAAACAAAAAAAAATGTAACATAACATAATAAGTTGAATTTGGAGCGCTTTGCATTTGTTTTTAGCGGGAAGTTCCAGGGTTGGCCTGTAGGGCCAACCGTATTTTATTTAATATTAAATATTATAATATTAATACAAGTCACTTTTATAAAATGCAACTATAAAACTGATTCGCTTTAAGCAACAACAATAATTACAGATGCCTTTTTTGTTCCCGATCCCCTTCATACGCAAGCCAGACGTGAACGTTAAGCCCGAAACGCCTCAAGTCTTATACAATTATAACTTTTATGTATTTATTGTCGAAGTTCTGATGCGGGCACATCCCTCGGTACAACTGCTTATTGGAGCTTGAACTAGCCAACGCAGCGAATGCAATCTTCTTGGATTACAAAGAAAATTCTAGAAATTATTTCAATTTTATTCCGCGGTATTTTGTTTAAGATACTAATAAAAAAAGTTAAATTGCAATGAATGTACGTTTTTATTAATATTTAATAGTGTTTCGTTCGTATAAAAAGTAAACACACAACAAGCGTATAAAAAGTCCCGGGAGAGACTAGAGCGGGACTTTTTATATTGCTTGTTTTATACCGAAATTAGTTTAGAATCTTTTGCATTCGTTTAGTTTGAAGCGACAGTCTAGCTGTGAAACTTAATAGCACACAACCCACGACAGGTTTAAATCTGCCTTTCGACTATTATCGTGAAACACTCCTAACACATTAGCTCAGTGAATTAGGTTACGGGAGTATTGCCCCCACGATACAGGAGAAAATCCCAGTGTGGAAATAAAAGTAAGAAATAAACTGTATTAAAAGTGTCATTATTCTTGTTTTATTGTCCTAATTTTTTAATCCTGATTTATCATCAATGCAGCTTAACATAAGTCTACAGATACGCTAGGTCTCCCCCAAATAGTGCTATACAGCATGTTTCTAAACCTCCTCTAGTCTCTTTTGTACAAGTGAGGGTAATAAACCATCTGTTGGTAAACGGTAAATGATGGCTTATATCTACATTTGTACGAGGCAGAGCCATGCTGCAGTTACATTAGTATAGCACGAATGGGTGGGCTCGACTAAGGAAGGACCACGCTCTCACAAAATACCAGCGTAAAATAGCAGCTTAATGCTGCTGTGTTTCTTATGGTGAGTGTAGAGAACCGGAGACCCTTTTTACTGGAAACGAGGCATTCCATCTTAGCCCTCACGGGTGACAACGTTGATTCGTAATCGAGGATAGATGTAGATGTCTATGGGCCACAGCAAACCATTATCATCAGGTGGACTGTGTGCTCGTTTTTCACCCTACCTTTAAAAAAAAGAATCTAAATTCAGATAAGACAACGTATCTGAATTTTTATGACGATGAGAATTAAGATGAAATACCTCATGACCAGTATGAAGGTACAGAATTTCTTAGGCATTTACCAGGTGTGGTTAGACTCCTTTCTATGTATGTGTGTCCTTTCTATGTGTGTATTCACGTTGTGCAGAGTAATTGATCTATATTGATAAAACATCATTCATTTCATTTCATTTCCGATGCCGCAACAAACAAAACACCTATCCGTCCATACAGTTGGACGTAACTCGACAACATCGCCTCACCACGTCACATTACGCCCGTATATTTACGACAATGCCGCCTTGGGGTGGGCAGTGCGTTAATATTTTATACAGCACTGCCAACGACTTTTATTGGCCACGAACGTCTTAAGCAGATCGATACGGGTTGGCGAATCTCACGTGTAGAGTTCAACTTCGTATGAGCAAAATATTGCTGTATGGTCACTGTTTCTTTTATTGTTTTTAAAGCGTGTTTTGCAAAGTTTTACAAAAACTTTAGTATTTTACTATATAGTTTTATAAGTACTGGTTTATCAAAGGTGTTTAATTTTTTCCAAAATATCTAGAGTTTTTTTTTATATAATAAGGGTGACAAATGAGCACACAGTCCACCTGGTGGTAAGTGGATGCTGTTGCCCATAGACATCTCCATTTATCCTCGATTAAGAACCAAAATTCGGATGCATTATTACCTTTGAGAACTAAGATGGAATGTCTCGTTTCTAGTTAAAAGGATCTTCGGCTTACTACACTCACCATACGAAACACAGCAGTATTAAGCTGCTATTTTGCGCTCGTATTCTGTGAGAATGTAATCCTACCACGGATAAACCGACCCATTCTATAACAATAGCTGTAAAATTGTTGTATAACCTTCACTTCTCCTACTACTTATTGTAGACATGATGATGTATGTTTTAGCACGTTCTCTAGTGTATTCCTAACAGCTATGCATTGAATCATACATCTATATTTAAGGCTGCATTACCGTTATAGCCTACTAACTAAACAGGCCTCCCTCATAGATTGCCTCATCGAGGGGGACATTTACCACAGTTGCCACGCTCAGCAGCCGAATTGGCAACCGCAGTTTATTTTTATTTTTAGTCGTTATTAAGAAGACGCTGCTGCATATCTCCTGGTCTGTTGCTATTTCTCTCGTCTCTTACGACACCCACGAAACGTTATGGGGTAGTGGATATACCAACAGTTCCGTTCATAGAAATAGTATTTGAAAGTAGTTTCGCCGTATTTATTATCTAAAATGTGTAAGAAATCTACGCGGAACTTAAAATTGGAAAACCGTTTATTGCAGAATACTGCAGTTTGATCAGGCTTGAGACTGCTGCCTTTTCGCATCGAGAGCTGAAATTGTTTATAATAATTTAAAATAAAAAAAAATTGTACAACCGACTTCAATACAAATTATTAAGGATATCTTAAAAACTGTTAGGCAGACCTTGATCAAATTTATACATATATATACATGAAAAGCACCAGTTTTCAAATAAAAAAGAATCGTCGAAATCGTTTCACCTAAAAAAGGTATGAGGTAACACACAAAAAAAAACGAACATACAGTCGAATTGAGTACCTTCTCCTTTTTGAAATCGGTAGAAAATATATAAATTGTCTTTGTCATCGGATATGAATAAATTTACCGATCACCGTGAATGTTTATTCTAATAAAACAAGCAAAATCATGAAACTAATCGCTTTTTGTATAATCGCCGTTTTTTCTTTTTTTTTTCGTTTCTCAAACTTTGATATTTGCCAAAAGTAAAAAAAATGCAGTCAATTGTATTTAAAAAATCGAAAGCGTGCGTTTAATTCATCCATTTTTTGTCGTGATCGTATGAATGGTATGGGAACGGAAATAAGACTAACAAACAAACAAACAAATATTTATATTAGTAACAACCTGCGCGGGCAAGCACACAACAACTCAACAAAGTTTTATCGTAATCGGATATAGATGAATAGATGATACTCGTAGAATGGTATTAGACTAAATAGAAAATAAAAGAAATATTAATTATAAAATACAAAGAGTGGTTGCTGTGAAGTGGTGTTGTAAGAATACCCACTACCAAATATCGTCCCATGGGTTTCGTAAGAGGCGACGGAGGAAAGTGAGAGAAGAGATGTGCACCAGCATTTTCTTGAAAACAAATTTGGCAACCGCAGTTTTTACCGACTTCAAAAAGGTACCTCATGTATTCAATTCGACTGTATATTTTTTTATGTATGTACCTCGGAACTTTTCTCTGGGTGAACCGATTTTGATGGTTCTTTTTTTATCTGAAATCTGGTACTTCTCGGGTAAACCCATACAAATTTAGGCAGGATCTGACCGATAGTTTTTGAGTTATATTTAATAAAGTTATAAAGTTACATATACGTCCCACTCCTCTCATTTCTGAGAGAGTTTTAGGGCAAGGAATTGTCCGCCGCGTTGCCCCAATGCGTGTTAGCGAACTCACATGTCTTCTAAATATGTGTTTTCTTATTTCTCAGACATGGAGATTTCCTCACGATGTTTTCCTTACCGCCGAGCAGGTGGTAAATGAGCACTTAAAATTGCAATTAACGTTTCATTGGTGCCGGCGGGGATCGAACCCGGTTTGCTCGCGTACTGTGAAATTTACAGCGAGCGCCAACCGTCTGAGCTACCAATTAAATACACATTATTAAATATAACTACAAATTGTAGTTATATTTAATAATGTATGTTTAAGTTACTTCGAATACATTGATGATGTTCTCATTATAATTATATTGAAGTCGGTTGTACACAATTTTTAATTTTACCACTTGTTTATTAAGCTATTATGAAGAAAATACAGCAGCCCTGTGTAGTATAATTTATACGTAGAGAGTATAATGTATAGGTAGACTACCTCGTTGGTCTAGTGGTTGTAGTAGTGCGACTGCTAATCATGAGGTCCTGGGTTCAAATCCCGGGTCGGGCCAAAAATAATTATTGAGTTTTCCGTCAAGAAATAATCAGTAGTTGTCCGGAGTCAGGAAGTTGGCGGTGTCACCCCCGTGCCTCGAAAAGCACGTAAAGCCGTTGGTCCTGCACCTAATCTCTCTCCGGTCGTGTCGGTTTACCGTCCCATCGGATTATGAGAGTGAGGGAATAGAGAGTGCGCCTGTGCTTGCGCATACACTTGGGCACTATAATCTTGTACTGCGGCCCCCTTGGCAGGCCGCCGTGGCCGAAATTCGGTCTGGAGGACATTAGGTAGACAGTATATAAATAAAGTCAGTATCAAACCAACTGTCGTGTGTTTTACTACATGGTGGCAGCGGTGGGATTTCAAAAATATAATTTATTTGCGAATCCACCAATCATAAGTGTACTTAGTTTATTATGAAGCAGTTTTGTGTGTATTTTATAAAAAATATCATGAAACATGCGCGTCCTCCAGCGGAATTATCACTCAAAGGCGGGCCAGCCGTACGGGCCGAAGCGTGGCGTCAATGGCGGAGGCTATTCGAAGTGTTCTTAAAAGTATCTGGAGTGAGCAAAAAGCCTAAAGAGATTCAGGCTAGTTTGTTGGTTAACCTCATCGGCTGGGCAGGATACGAGGTGTTCACCACTTTTACTTTCAAAGAGGGCGAAAGCATAGACGACATCAATTGCGCGAAAAGAATTTGAACCTTATTATATTCGGTTTAATACCAAATTAACTATCGAACTTCTTCAAAACGCAATTGATGTCGTCTTCGCTTTCGCCCTCTTCTAAAGTAAAAGTTTTGGAAAAAGTGAAAGAACCATCCAAACTATAAAAGGTTTCCCTGTTTCAAGGAATAATATTAGGTATCGGATACTATTACGTCATTACATGGCTTACAAAGCCACTGCACGGCTAGCTAAGTTTATGTAAAGCCACACGTCAGACAGATCGGCGACGGGAAGCGAAATCAGAACTGCGAGCATTTTTATATAGAATAGTGGACGCCACACACGGTCAGTTCAACTGATCATTCCAACTGATCAGTTCAAACTAACTGTTGATATTTTTTTAAATATTGAATTTTCGATATACCGATAATTATAAATATATCAATATCGGAGTTTTATATATACGTTTTTTTTTATAGAAGAGGGGGCAAACGAGCATGCGGCTCACCTGATGTTAGGTGACTACCGCCGCCCATGATCAACCGCAACACCAGGGGAATTGCAGGTGCGTTGCCGGCCCTTTAGATAGGAGTAAGCTCTTTTCTTGAAGGTCCCCAGGTCGTATCGGTCCGGAAAAATCGCCGGACTATTCCACTAAACTATTCCACAGAGAGAAACTATTCCACAGAGAGGTTGTACGCGGAAGAAAACTCCTTTTGAAACGTACTGTGGTGGACCGCCAAGCATCCAGATGGTGTGGATGGTATCAGGAGGTTTGCCGCGTAGTGCGTTCACGAAATTTGGCGGCTGGGATTAATCCGAACAATTCCTCAGAGTACTCTCCATAAGTAAAAAAAAGTAAAGTTACAGCCTATATACGTCCCACTGCTGGGCTCAGGCCTCCCCCTCATTTGTGAGAGGGTTTAGGGCAAGGAAGTGTCCGCCGCGCTGCCCAAATGCGTGTTGGCGAACTTCACATATCTTCGAATTATTTTCTTTCTTATTCCTCAGACATGCAGGTTTCCTCACGATGTTTTCCTTCACCGCCGATCACGTGGTAAATCAGCACTTAAAATTGCAATTAACAATTTCATTGGTGCCGGCGGGGATCGAACCCGGGTTACTCGCGTTCTGTTATATTTACAGCGAGCGTTAACCACTGAGCTAACACGTATGCATGCATATACCATGGAGAGCACTCTCCATGGTATATGCGAAATAAAATGCAAAGAGATGCAACATCTCTTCGCAGTGCCAGTGAATCGAGCCAATCGGAAAGCACTCGGTCCTCGACGCGGTCAAGTGGAAGGAGCTGGTACTGGGGATCCCCAGCCCAGAGATGGGAACAGTATTCCATGTGCGGCCGAACCTGCGCCTTGTAAAGTCGCAGGCGGTGTGCCGGCATAAAAAACTGTCCCGCTCTGCTGAGCACGCCAAGCTTTTTTAGAGGCCAAATTGGCCTTCTCTTCCAAGTAACCACGAAACTGCATGTCATTTGATATGTCAACGCCGAAGATTCCAATACTGGCAGAGGTAACAAGGGGGAGTGCCTTGAAGCTGAGGAGATACGACAAAGGGATTCTTTTTAGCGGTTAACGCGCAAACTTGTGTCTTCTGGGGGTTGAACTGGACTAGATTTAGTCGCCCCCAATCCGAGACTCTGTTCAGCAAAGACTCGACTTCAGACACAAGTTTTTCCCGGCACTCGAAGACGTTTTCCCGAGAAATATTGGCTCGGCCGTTGTACAGAGCATCACCAGTGCTGTCATCTGCATAACAATGAATGTTACTGGTTTGCAACATATCATTGATATGCAGAAGAAACAGCGTTGACGATAGCACGCAGCCTTGTGGAACACCAGCATTAATAGGCTTGCAATCGGAGCTTGCACCGTCTACAACGACCTTGATACTCCGATCTGCAAGAAAGCTGGTGATCCAATCGCACAATTTCTCGGGAAGCCCATAGGAAGGGAGCTTCGAAAGAAGCGTTTTGTGCCAAACCCGATCGAAGGCCTTCGCAATGTCCAAACTAACGGCCAATGCCTCCCCCTTGGACTCTACTGCCTCCGCCCATCTGTGAGTTAGGTAGACCAGAAGATCACCAGCTGACCGACCACGGCGAAAACCGTATTAGCGGTCACTAATCAGCTGGTGATGCTCAAGGTACCTCATGAGCTGGCAGTTTACAATAGACGCCATTGTTTTGGAGAACAAGGAGGTGATGGCGATAGGCCGGTAGTTGGACGGGTCTGAGCGCTCGCCTTTTTTAGGGATCGGGTGGACGAAAGCCATCTTTCATGATTTTAGGACTACTCCTAGGGAGTAGGAGTACTGGAAAAGACGCGTTAAAACCGGTGTCAACTCTGGAGCACACGTCCTCAGCACAATTGGGGGGGATTCCGTCAGGCCCACTCGACTTGTGGATAGGGATAGGAGCGCTGTGTGAACTGCACTTCCGGCATGGAGCACTCACACCGCGGGATGGTCGGCGGCGTACTCCCCCCGTCATCGAGAGTCGAGTTGGACGCAAAGAAAGAGCCTAGAAGATCGGCTTTCTCCTTTGCGGTATGGGCCAGTGAGTTGTCCTCCCTGTGCAGAGATGGAAGAGATGGCTGACAGAAATTCCCCTGGATTATATCTATCGATATATCGAAAATCCAATATTTAAAAAAAATATCAACAGTTTTAGTTTGAACTGATCAGTTGGAATGATCAGTTGAACTGACCGTGTGTGGTGACCATTAGGCTGACAAACGAGCAAACAGTACACCTGATGGGAATTGGATGCTGTAGCTCATAGACAGCTACATATAATCTCGATTAGGAATTAAAATGCAGATGCATTGCCAGCCTTGAGGACTAAGATGGAATGCCTCGTTTCCAGTAGAAAGGTTCTCCGCTTCTCTACACTCTCCATACGAAACATAGCAGCATTTACGCCGGTATTCTGTGAGAACAACCATCATATAGCTGCAGAGCCATACTGCAGCTATATGATGGTACAATCTGGCACAACGATCCACAATCCGCCTCCCAAGCACGTTGACTATAGCAGACTTTATTTCGCGAGAAGCTCATGTCTTGCAGACAACTTTTAAGCTCCACTAGAAGTAATTGTTGTGTACTAAGGGACCGTTTAGTGGCGGTGCAGGAATATCCACTACTCCACACGTCCCGTAAGTGTCGGAAAAGACAGAGGAAAATTGAAACAGGTGATGAACAGCACCGTCTTTCTGATAACAACGCAAAATAATAAAAAAAACTACGGTTGACAAACAGCCTGGTGTGGCAACTATGGCAGTATCCCCATGAGACAATCTCTGAAGGAGGCCTATGTTCAGCAGTGGACTGCATGGAGCGTTGAAGTTAATTAGAAGGTTAAGGTTGTAGAAAAACGTATATAACCTATATAGGTGTTTCAATACATAATAATAGAAAATTTCTTTTTAAAATAAAAAATACAAACACACTGTTTTCTGAATTCGTTTTTATTTTCAAAACAAAAATATTTTACTTTAGAGAGAAAGCAAAAAAATTGTCACGTCAATGTTTTCAACGTTTAAAAAAATATGGGTATATAAATTTTAAAACAAAGGCATTATTTGTACATCAGTTTGTTGAAGCTCGAATATTTTTTGAGTTATTACTTATCATCATTGTCCGTTCTGTCTATGACCCATATTTCAAGATATTTTATAACCTCTCAGGAATATAAAGTGACCATGGTTGCTGTAACAATTTCATTGGTGCCGGCGGGGATCGAACCCGGGTTACTCGCGTTCTTTTATATTTACAGCGAGTGTTAACCATCTGAGCTACCACGGCTGATTTACCACGTGCTCGGCGGTGAAGGAAAACATCGTGAGGAAACCTGCATGTCTGAGGAATAAGGAAAAAATATTTCGAAGACATGTGAAGTTCGCCAACACGCATTGGGGCAGCTCGGCGGACACTTCCTTGCCCTAAAACCCTCTCAGAAATGAGGGGAGGCCTGTGCCCAGCAGTGGGACGTATATAGGCTGCCACTTTACTTTTTTTATGGTTGCTGTAAAGTGCTCGAAACGTCGGGAATATAAAATGAGTTAATATATACGCGACAAAAGCCGTAAAAACTAATTTTATCTTAGCAGTATTTAAAAGAACTAAAAATAATATATATGTTGAAGATATTGTGTGGAAATAATAAAATAATTTCCACACAAAATCTTCTATGGTGGATATGAAAGCAAAATTTATAGAAGAACTAAAATTTCGACTATGTAGATATTATTTTATTCTTTTAGTTCCTTAAAGTCATCTTTTTTTTATTAAAAATATGTTGTCAACCTTTTTGAGTGAACTAAGGGATATTACAAGCACGAGGTAACAAGGGGTAATATTAAAAATTTTGTACAACCGACTTCAATGCGAACGAATGCGTATTCGAAGTCCATTAAATACGCATTATTTAAGGATAACTAGCTTTATTTAAGGATATCTACTTGTCAGATCTTGATCAAATTTATACAGAACTACACGAGAAGCGCCAGCTTTCAAATAAAAAAGAATCATCAAAATCGGTTCACCCAGAAAAAAGTTCTAAAGTAACAAGCATTAAAAAAACATAGTCGAATTGAATACCTCCTCCTTTTTGAAGTCGATAATAAATAGTGTCGTCTACATAGTTGCATACTTAATTAAAACAATATGGTAATGTATATTAACATTTTTAAAAATCATTTTTGACAATATCGTGTCAATTTTTTCTGTTAATAGTAACCTCACCAGCACCTAATGTTGGACTGACAAGGTCCTGGCAGAAAGCCACCCCAAAACATCGAACGCGAAGTGGAGATATGTAGTGCTCTATTGTCACCTAATCAAAAAATCGCGATCCACTCAAATCACTTCCACAAGCTTTATATTGCACTTATGTAATAAAAAACGTAAACCAATAGCAAGATGAGATTTCATTTAATACGTCTAACGTAGTTAGAAGATTATATATTTCGTATATTATTTTTTAAAAAAAAGGTAATTGAAAATAATTT